CCCCACCCCGCGCGAGACTGCCTCCGCGACGACGGCGACGTCGTGCCCTATGCTCACGAAGTCGTCGACGTACTCCGAGCGGCGCGCGGGGCCCAGGCTGGGGGCGGGTTGCCCATCGCAAGGGCGAGCGTCAGGGCGGCAGCAAATGGCCTCCGCGACGCGCTCCATGATCGTTTGGCACCACCAGCACCCATCGGCGCCGCCCTCAGGCGAGCGCGCGGGCAAGCGGAGGCAGGCAAATCCACGCCGCCCAGGGAGGAGATCCCCAGGGCCCCTTCCCGCGCGGGCCCCAAGGCGAAGGTAGCCCGCAGCGCCTCGGGCAGCTCGAAGTGGCAGAGAACGTCCTCCTTCAGGTTGGCGCCCTCCACGGCCAGCTCGGAGTCGTCGTCCGGCATCTCGAGCGAGCCGAACGCGTCGCCCGCGGTCAACCCCCCACCGTCGGGCTCTGTGAGTGTCTCATTGGAGCGCCGGCACTCGGCAACCGCCCTCGGGCGGCCCCGTTTTTTGGGGGGGCGAATTAAGATCTCGGCGCGGACCCCGCGGCGCAAGGAGAAGTCCAGCAAGTGCCGCTCATGCAGTAGCCTGAGAAAATTTGACCGGCGCCTGTGGTCGCGCTGGAGAGGACCGGAGTAGGGCGCAGGCGCGAAGCTATGGCGAAGTCGCGCAGCCGCCTCGCGCGAACCGAGCACGCCCTGCCGAGCGAGCTGTTCGACCTTGGACAGCCCGCCCCCTCGCACTTCAGCCCGCGGCACAGGGGCAGAACTGACATCGGGCAAGGAGAGGAGCGCGGGGTCGTAGCCCCCGAGGGGCGACTGGTCGACAGCGCGGGCGCCCCCGGCCGCGCGAAGCTGAGTCGACGCTGCCGCGGGAGACGGCGACGAGGGTGCGGGGCCAGGATGCCGCGCGGACTCGTCGATGCGGGGCCGGCACTTACTCCGAGCAGACGACGGGCCCACGTAGCGCGCAGGTCGGTCACGGCCGCAAGTCAGGAACGGGTCGCGAAGCCAACTGAGAGAGTCCGCGCAGTCGAGCACGTCGCTGCAGACGCCCAGCCTGCGGCCCACCATCCTCCGAGCACCTCTGGCCAGCGTGCGAGCCGCGCCTCTATCCATGGGCCCCCCGGGCAGCGGGAAGATGCCCCGGGGCCGACGGCGTCCGATGTCGTGGACGTCCTGAGTATTGAAAGACCCACTAGAATTGGCCTGCTGGAGGGGAAAAAAACACGCGCTGCCACCCCCTCCGATGACAGCGCGGCCCGATGATCAGCCATTGCGCCTGGACTCCCACTCCTCTCGGGCCAGGCACAGACGCTTTTGCGATTTCGTCTCCTTCTCGGCGTCGCTACGAACGTGCTCGACCAAATCGGGGAGGCCATCGCCGAGGACGTGGAGCGCAATGCTCCTGAGAAGGCGGCCTGCTCTTCCAGGCTCATATTGTTTCACACGCCCTTGCTCTCGGCATCCTTCGCCTTGTCCCAGGTGGCAAAGTCGATGGCCTGAACCCTCCTGAGCTTCATTTCGATGCTTATCAGATTAGCGTAATTCAGGAGGTCCTGGCAGGTGGCAGCCTTGATATTCTCGCAGAGCTGGCAGTGCCCCTGAAAGGCCCAGTCGGTGGCCCCAAACTTGCAGACATGGCGGAAATGCTCATGGTGGCCCTCGATGCCCAGCCCCTCGCGCTGCAGGTACTTCATGCACCAGGCGGCTGACTGCGGCCCTCGCAGAGCCCAGTCGGAGCCGAAGTCCTCCTGCTTAGTCATCTCCACCATCTTGTGCCACGGCAAGCCGCGGCGCCCCTGAGCGGCCCGTACGGTGGGCAGGATCCTCGCGTCAGCGTCCACCGCCTTGCGCAGAAAAGCCTCCAAGCCTGCGGGCGTCACCAGCTCCACGAACAAGCCCTGGACGTCGGCAAGCACGTGGATGTCCCTGTCCTGCACGCGCCCAGCGGTCGGGACATGGCCCGGCACCTCGTCGCCGATGCGGTAGCCGCCCTCGCAGGCAGTCGCCCGCCAAACCCCGGCGGGGTCAGCCGCCGCCGCGCCGCCTCCCGTGGCTGGGGCACGTCGGAGCAGTCCGAGGGCCGGCCACGCGGGCGCCACAGGGGCGGCAAGCCCTCCCTGCCAGTCGTGATCAGCGCCCGCAGGTTAGTGAGCAGGCCGAGGTTGCCCACATTCTGAGCACGCGTCCTATACTCCGCCAGCGCGATCTGCTCCGCCTCCGCCGTGGGCTGCCTGATCTCCGCGTCGGTCGGCTCCGCCCTGAACCAGTGCACCTGGTTCGCCAAAGTGCCCGGCGGCGGGAGGGGGCGTAGCCGCCGAGCCGGGCCGCCTGCGCGTCTGGGTTGTTCGCCATCGTGACGAAGTACAGGTCGCCATCGGCGGTGTAGATCGCATGATCAGCCCCTGATAACGTGACCCAGCCCAGATTGAAGTGCTGGTGCCAGACCACCTCGCTGGCGCAAACGACGCGTACCCACCTGGTCGTCGCGACTGCCGCCATCCTCAACGCCAGCAGCCACGCGAACGCGAGGACGGCCGTCCCGACGCAGAGCAGCGCAGCAACAGGCTACACATGCCGCGGTGGCGATGGAGCCCAAGGCCCCGCCCAGCAGGCCAGCCGCGAACGCCCTGACGTCGCCGAAGACGTCGTGGGCGACGGTCGCGGGGGCCTCCGCCGCGTCGGCCCGCGGCGCCGCGAGCCCAGCCGGCGGCTCGGGCACGGCGCACGGGGCGCGCGCCGGGCGGGCGGGCACCTGGCAAGGGGGGCGGCGCGGGGCACGCCACTGGCGCCGACTCCGCGCAGGGCGCGCTCGCGGGGCACTCCCGAGAGCACCCGGGGCAGGCCGCGAGCGCCCCACACGCCGCGGAAGCAGGCGGGGCACGGAGGGCACGATGGCACCCGCGGGCACGGCCCACGGGCGGCGCCCCCGCGCTGCGGCTGCCGCCCGGATCAGTCAGCATCAGCTCGGGAAATCGGACCGAGTCGGAGTGCGCGTGGGATCGGGCCGCATCTGCACGGACTCGACATCGGATGGGCTCCGCTGCCCCAGAATGCACAACAGCGCCGCGCAGGCATCGGGCCGTATCGGATCGCCGGAATGCCAGAATGGAGTCTGCTCGGCATGGCCGAAGCCGACCTCGAATCGGGTCCAGCGGATCGAAGCGGACCCTGGCCGCACGATGCCCTCGAGAGCCGTCATGGCCCGCCCGCGCGGCCGAGCGCGGGGGCCGCCGCCGCTCGGCAGGACGCCCCGCGGCGCCCGCCCGTTGGAACGGAGCTGAGGGACAACGTTGGGGGGGGGGGGGTTGAGGGTAGAGGAGGGATTGGGGGGTAGAGGAGGGCTCCTCCTCCTCCTCCGCCGCCTCCTTTCCTCCTCCCTCCTCCCCTCCTCCTCATCCTTCCTCCGCCTCCTCCTCATCCTCGACCTCCTCCTCCTGGCCCCTCCTACTCCATCCTCCTCCTCCTCCTCCTCTCATCCTCCTCCTCCTCCTCCTCCTCCTCCTCCTCCTCCCTCTCCCCATCCAACTTATGTGGTGGTGGTGGTGGTGGTGGTGGTGTGGTGGTGTGGTGGTGGTGGTGGTGGTGGTGGTGGTGGTGGTGGTGGAAAACAAGCCCATCAAAACGATCCTCTCAAACCCCGACCCTTAGATCGACCTGCCATCGGCGATCCACCGCCAGACGATCGGCGATAGGCCCCCGATGGCGAATCCGCACCTCCCTGGGCAGGGTGGGGCTATCGGGGGCCCCTGTCGGCGACGAATGGGCGATTGATGGTCGATGCCTCCCCAGACCTCCGGCTGCTCCGATTTTCTCGATGCGTGGGCCCTGGAAGTCCGGACCCCTTCCCCAGGGCCAGTCTTTCGTCCTCCTCCTCCTCCTCCTCCTCCTTTCCTCCTGCTCCTCCTCATCCTCACTGACTGCCCCTCCTCCTCCTCCTCCTCCTCCTCTCCTCCTACTCCTCCTCGTCCTCCTCATCTCTGCCCCTCCTCCTTCCTCTCCTCTCCTCCTCCTCCCTCCTCCTCCTCCTCCTCCTGCCCTCCTCCTCCTCCTCCTCCTTCCTCCTCCTCCTCCTCCTCCTCCTGCCCCTCTCTTCTCATACTCCTCTCCCTCCTCCTCCTCCTCCTCCTCCTCCTCCTCCTCCTTCCCCAGGGCCAGTCTTTCGCCCCGAGTCGTGCGCTTCCGAGCCCCAGCGAGGGCCCCCCGGAGGCCGAGAACGGCCCCAAAACCGCCCGCTGCAACTTGTCTGGAGCCTCGGACCTCCCGAGCATTTTCTTAGGGGGTGAAGGCCGCAGGGTGAAGTCCATGTGGACTTCTGCACCTCGCAAGTCCACCCGTCTTGTGTGCTTCACCTCTTGCGGATTCGAGCCTCGAAGACCAGTCGAAACAGCATTTCAGACTTCACCCTTTGCCCTCCACCCAAAGAAAATGCTCGGGACCTCTGGCGAAGGAGGAGGAGGAGGCGAAGGAGGAGGCGAACGAGGAGAAGGAGAAAGAGAAGGAGGAGGAGGAGGAGGAGGAGGAGGAGGGGACAGGAAGGAGTAGGAAGAAAGAGGAGGAGGGATGGAGGAGAGAGGGAGGAGGAGGAGGAGGAGGAGGAGAGAGGAGGAGGAGGAGGAGGAGGAGGAAGAAAGAGGAGGAGGAGAGAGGAGGAAAAAGAGTAGGAGGAGAAGGAGGAAGGAGGAAGCAAGGAGGAGGAGGGAGGAGGAGGAGGAGGAGAGGAGGTAGGAGGAGAAAGAGGAGGAGGCGGAGGAGGAGGAGGAGGGAGAGAGGTAGGAGGAGGAGGAGGAAGGAGGAGGAGGAGGAGAGAAAGAGGAGGAGGTAGGAGGAGGAGGAGGAGGAGGAGGGGCAGGAGGAGGAGGAGGAGGGAGGCAGGGAGGAGAGGAGGAGGGCAGGAGGAGGAGGAGGAGGATGAGGAGGATGGAGGAGGGGGAGGAGGAGGAGGAAGGAGGAGGAGGAGGAGGCCCCCACCACCGTCGCCCCCGAGGCGCGGAGCGGACAGGCCGGCAGAGCGCGGCGGCTCCAGCAGCGCGTGGCCGACGGCCCCGCGCCACGCCGGGCCGCGGCCGCGGCTGCGCCGTCGGCCGCGCGGGCCCGGGCTCAAGTTGGGCGTGTCTCCCTACAGTCGAGGCGTTGACCTAAGGAACCCTAAACAAGGAACGAGGCCCCTTTTTTCCTTGAGGTAAACTTCGATTTCCGATCGAAAACACAAGGAAAACCTGAGGCAAGCTGTGAAACACTTAAGGAGCGCGGAGCCCCTCCCCAACCAAAAGGATTCCTTCTTCAGGGCCCCGACTGTACAGGGGGATTTTGGACGAAAAACAAAGAATACTCCAGAAATGCCCCCCCCGACGAAAAACCATATTTTCGACGATGAATCAAATTTTCGACGGGACACACATATATATATATATATATATAAAAGATATTATATATATATATAAACTCCAAAAGGGAAAATACTCCAAGAATAGTCCCCCGATTATTTTTTGACAATTTTTGAATGTTCCTGCTGTAGAGGCACAGGCCCGACTTCAGCCCAGGCGGCCGCGGCGCGGCGCCTCGGGACTCGGCGGCTGCGCCGGCCCTGCCTCGTACCGGAGCGGCAGCGAGCCGAGCCTCGACGCCCTCCCAGGCATCTGGCGTCTCGGACAAAAAAATCGAGACGAGGGCTTCTGAGAAGCTTCGGCCCCTCGGGGCCCTCCCCGGGCCTTGGGACCGTCAAGAAAAAAAATCGGGAGGAGAAGCCGGTCCCGGGGAGGTGGCCGAGAGGTCGGGGGACCGTGTCTCGAAAACTCGTGACGCCGGATGCCTGGACTCGCCCCCCCCCCCCTCCTCCTCCTCGTCCTCCTCCTCCTCCTCCTCCTCCTCCTCCTCCTCCTCCTCGTCCCCGCCGTGTGCGCCGTCGCGGGATTGTGCGGCCTCGCGCCAGCGACAGCGAGCCAGGCTTCGGCGAGGCTTTGGCCAGGACCGACGCCCTCGGGCCGGAGGGGCAGCGTCCCCGCTGGGGCCTCCTGGCGCCGCCCCGCGCGCCGTCTCGGGATTGCGCGCGGGGGGGGCTCTGTCGGGATGCTCTCGGAGGGGGCGCCAGCGGCGCCAGGGGGCCCAACGTCGGGATGCTCACGAGAGGTCGCCAGCCCTCCCCGCTTCCGCCGCTGATGAACCCTGATTTCCGCCCCGCCTTGTCAGGGCAAGGGGGGGAGGGAGAGCAGAGGTAATTGGGGGAGGGGGAGGATCCAGAGGCCTCCGAGGCAACCAAATAAGATATCCAGACTCCCTGATTCATCCTCGACTTGCGAGTTCTTTGGGAGGGTCATCCCATCCCTCCTCCTCCTCCTCCTCCTCCTCCTCCTCGTCCTCGTCCTCGTCCTCGTCCTCGTCCTCCTCCTCCTTCTCCTCCTCCTCCTCCTCCTCCTCCTCCTCTTCTCCTCGTATATAGTTCATCCCTGTCGCACCCACAAACGTGTCGGTAAGGCGGGCTGGAGGTTCGCCTCGGACTTCCTCACCGTTTGAGACCCGAAAGCCTTAACGTTGGAGCAACTTCAAGGATGAAGGGCGGGCCGTTTCCAAAATGTGGCTCTCGCCGTCTTAAAAGCTTGAAGGGGTTTAAGGATTCGTGTGGTTTTAAGTCCCAGGCGTGTTCTGGCACGATTTGGGATTGTCAGGACGCAACAGTCAGGTTGATTAACGGTGTTCAAGTCCCAAGATATGCGTGATGGCACGATTTAGGATTGTCAGCACGCAACAGTCATGTCGAACCGCAGTGCCGGAGTCCCAGAAGCGGTGTTTGGAACCTCGGACAGTTGTCTTCCAATCGGGCACTCCCTGCAATGAACATATTTCTTGAACTGTAGGGGCCTGCGAAATGGGTGTATTGCAACAGAGTTGATGCGTCTTGGGTTTACATTGGCCCTCCTCCTCCTCCTCATCCTCCTCCTCCTCAACCTCCTCCTCCCTTTCTGCCTCTGTCACTCCCTCCTCCATCCCCCCCCCTCTCGCTCACCTCACTCCCTCATCCCCTTCCTGCCTCGTTCCCCCCTCCCTCCTTGCAATCTCTCTCTCCCTCCCTACCCCCCATCCTCCAATCCTCCCGCTTCCCCCCCCCCCCTCTCCTCTTTGCTCCCTCCCCATCAGGACAGCAGGCTCACGTCGAGACAACGTCGGCGTTGGTGTCTGACACCGTGCGGATCGCTGAAACCTCGGACGATCGCGGCTCTCCCGTAGTGCAGATCAGCCAATTCGGTGTCACTGCCGGCGTTGAACCTTGAACGCCCGCGCTGGAGTCGCTACCGTGCAACACGCGGCACGAACCTGCCGCAGTCGTCCTCCTCCTCCTCCTCCTCCTCCTCTCCTCCTCCTCCTCCTCCTCCTCCTCCCTCCTCTCCTCCTCCTCCTCCTCCTCCCCTCCTCCTCCCTCCTCCTCCTCCTCCTCTCCTCCTCCTCGCCTCCTCTCCTCCTTCTCATCCTTTCCTCCTCGCCTTCTCTTTTTCCATTGCATCCTCTCCTCATCTTCCTCTTCTATTTCTCTGATTCTTTTATCAGCCTCATCTCCCTCCACCCCCCCATCTTCCCATTTTCCTCATCATGCTCCCCCCCATCTCTCCCATCCGCCACCGCCACACCCTCCCCCTCCTCCTCGTGTGCTCCTCGTCACCACCCTTCCCTTGTGAATAATCCCACCTCTATCCTCTTGTCACCCTCGTTCGTCGTCGTCCCCCTCCTCCTCCTCCTCCTCCTCCTCCTCCTCCTCCTGCCCCTCCTCCCACCTCGTCATACCTCTTATTATCCTCCCGCTTGTCTTACTCGCCCTCCTCATGTTCCTCATCCCTCTCTCCTTCTACCCCATCCTCCTTGTCCTCCTTTGTTTCCCCTTCTCAGTATCTTCCCCCGCCCCGCCCCCCCACTCACCTCTCCTGCCATATCCTATCCCACATCCTTATCCTCCTCCTCCTCCTCATCATCATACTCCTTATACTCCCCATCTTTCGTCTCATCCTCATCCTATTCCTCCCATTATTTCTCCTCGTGGTCCTCCTCCCTTTCCCCCATCTCCGCATCAACTTCCATAGCAGCCTGGTCACATGCTGCAGCATGGCGGGTCACACAGCTCAGCAACGAGGACCAAATCAAAGCACATCCTCGCATAATCCGAATAACCAGCAAACGATCTGGGCGTGGCCTGTTCACACAGCACCCGTAAGATTATTCATCCGTCGAGCAAGCGAACCGATGAGCGCCTCGCCGTTGCCGTTGCCGTGCGCAAAGCAGCATGGCTGTTTGGTGATCTTGTTGAGGATGAATGGCTGGTTTCTCTCGTCCAGTTTAATCTCGAGAGGCGCCTTAGATTCTGGCCGCCCATGGGCCATCTGATGGGTGCTCAAGACCAAGCTTCCCGCGTAGTCCAGGGTGGCCCTGTCCGGGTTGTAGAGCATCCACCACTGAGCTCTCGCCTGATCCATGGAGCCCCGGATGCCTTTATTGTACACGAACTCGAAAAGCGGCAAGAGGTCCTTCACAGGGCCCATGACCCAACCCCAGTTCGGGTACCTGTACCCAATGTTATTCGCGTCGCATGGGGCAACCTTTTTGTCACTGCACGGCGTGTAGGGTAAGACCCAGTCGTCTGGGAGGTTCTCCACCTGCTTGTTGACTGCCGAACGCCGCATCTCCCAAGTGGCGTTCTCACGGAAGCGCCAACCCATGTCGATCGGGAAGCAGGCTGTCTCTGCGCTCATTACTATCTTCATGTTGCTCCCTCCTCCGCTGGCCTTGAGAATCTCTTTGTACTTCCTCGACAAGAACTGTTCGTCACATCCACCAAAGACCATGTCACCACCGTCGATCATGATCGCCATGGTCTCGGGGTCCTTCTGGAAAGTTTCGTTAATCCACTTGAGCATCAGGCCGTTTTTGGTACGGTAGTATTTCCAGGGATGGCCCACGCCAACATTCTTGACCGATGTGTCTGCTCCTGCGCCCGCATTCCTGCCAGGCAGCTTCATCGGATCGCCAGCCCGGGTCTCCACGGTGACGATGCTGATACTGCCGATGTGACGGACGCCTGTGCGGTACCTGGCATACATTTTGAGCATCTCTTCGTCAACAGACTCGTCAATGTCGTCGCCGTCGTCCTCTAACCCGAGACCTTCATCATTCAGGGGCGAACTCTGAAGCGCAAGGCACTGCTCATATAGCGACGACGCGAAGAGCAGCACGAGCGCCGTTCTCACAACCATCGCTGATCGGTAGTACAGTTTACAGAATGGAAGTAAGTTCGGTTCCCGAATGCTTCCTACAAGAAAATATGATTTGAGGGAGTTTCTGTGGAACTCACGTCATCCTCACCCCCGGCGCGAAGAGCACGAGTCCAGAGCGGCCTCCGGCACCGTTTCCGGACGGATCCGGACGGATCCGCTGGATCCGGGGACGAATCCCAAACCGGCGCCCTCGCCAGAGACATCCCCGCAAAACCGGCCCCGGGGGAGGTGCCCAGAGGAGCCCAGAGCGGCCTCTGGCACCGTTTCCGGACGGATCCGGACGGATCCGCTGGATCCGGGGACGAATCCCAAACCGGCGCCCTCGCCTGAGACATCCCCGCAAAACCGGCCCCGGGGGAGGTGCCCAGAGAAGCCCAGAGCGGCCTCAGGCACCGTTTCCGGACGGATCCGGACGGATCCGCTGGATCCGGGGACGAATCCCAAACCGGCGCCCTCGCCTGAGACATCCCCGCAAAACCGGCCCCGGGGGAGGTGCCCAGAGCGGAGAGAGGTTGCCCAGAGGACGACGACCAGAGCGGCCTCCGGAACCGGTTTCCTCTTTTCTCTCTCTCCCCTCTTCTTTTTTTTCTCGGACGGATCCGGACGGGATCCGTCTTGGATCCCGGCGGACGAATCCCAAACCGGCGCCCCCGCCTGAGACATCCCCGCAAAACCGGCCCCGGGGGAGGTGCCCACAGGAGCCCAGAGCGGCCTCCGGCACCGTTTCCGGACGGATCCGGACGGATCCGCTGGATCCGGGGACGAATCCCAAACCGGCGCCCTCGCTTGAGACATCCTCACAAAACCGGCCCCTGGGGAGGTGCCCAGAGGAGCCCAGAGCGGCCTCCGGCACCGTTTCCGGACAGGTCCGCTGGATCCGCTGGATCCGCTGGATCCGGTGACGAATCCCAAACCGGCGCCCTCGCTTGAGACATCCTCACAAAACCGGCCCCAGGGGCGGTGCCCAGAGGAGCCCAGAGCGGCCTCCGGCACCGTTTCCGGACAGATCCGGTGGATCCGCCGACGAATCCCAAACCGGCGCCCTCGCTTGAGAAATCCTCACAAAACCGGCCCCGGGGGAGGTGCCCAGAGGAGCCCAGAGCGGCCTCCGCCACCGTTTCCGGACAGATCCGGTGGATCCGGTGGATCCGCCGACGAATCCCAAACCGGCGCCCTCGCTTGAGACATCCTCACAAAACCGGCCCCGGGGGAGGTGCCCAGAGGAGCCCAGAGCGGCCTCCGGCACCATTTCCGGACAGATCCGGACAGATCCGGTGGATCCGCGCCCCGGGGGAGGTGCCCAGAGAAGGAATGAGGAGGAGGAGGAGGAGGAGGAGGAGGAGGAGGAGGAGAAGATGATGGAGCTGTGGGGTGAAGGAGGACAGACGGAGGCAAGAGAAGGATGGAGGAGGATGGAGGAGTAGGAGTAGGAGGAGGAGGAGGAGGAGGAGGAGGAGGAGGAGGAGGAGGAACCTCATCCTCACCCTCGCCAACAAGCGCACGCACCTTCTTCTATATACAGAAACTCCCGATCAACCGCAGAGCGGCCGGCTAGTATGAGATTCCTGATTGTTTGAAAGGCGCAGTAATACCGACGCACATTCGTATGCATACAAGAGTAGGTGCGCACGTGCGCAGTGTAGAATCCCACTGGCGCTCTGAACATAGATGGTATGGGGGACCAGCTCTGCCCGAAAAGCCGGTTCTTCCCACTCTGGGAGGGGTTCAAGCCCCCCTACCTCACGGCGAAAGATTTCGCCCCTCGCCCAGCTGAAGCCTCTTGGAGGCCTCTTGGAGCTTCTCTAGGGGAACAAAACGTGGCATAAACATAAAAACTCGGAGGTCCGCGCGGATTTCTCGGATCGGCGCTGGGGCACCCTGGCGGCGCCTCCGGCGCCGCCCCTGGCGCGCTCCGCGCGCTAGGGAGGGGGGTCCAGCGCCGATCCGAGAAATCCGCACGGACCTCAGAGTTTTTCCCAACCATCCTGTGGTGTTGGGTCCTCATTTTGAAAAGACGTCGCCCCGCGTTCCTCCTCTCCTCCTCCTCCTCCTCCATCCTCCTCATCCCTCCTACCTCTCCTCCCCCCTCCTCCGGCCTACCTCCTCCTCCTCCTCCTCCTCCTCCTCCTCCTCCTCCTCCTCCTCCTCCTCCTCCTCCTCCTCCCCTCCCTATGCGCTTCACCCACCCAGCACAGCGCTTCGTGGCCCCATAGGGAGCTCCACCGAAGCCCCCACGGGGACCGCCCGCATGCGTTCCCTACACCCAATTTGGCATTTTCACCCACCCAGTACAGCGCTTCGTGGTCCCATAAGGAGCTCCACCGAAGCCCCCAGTGGGACCGCCCGCATGCGCCCCCCATGCCCAATTTGGCATTTTCACCCCGCCAATACAGCGCTTCGTGGCCCTTAGCGAGCTCCACCGAAGCCCCCAGTGGTACCGCCCGTCCCCCACATCCAAATTGGCATTTTCACCCACCCAGTACACCGCTTCGTGGCCCCATAGGGAGCTCCACCGACGCTGGGACCGCCCGTGTGCGTCCCCCACACCCAATTTGGCATGTTCACCCACCCAGCACAACGTTTCGTGGCCCCATAGGGAGCTCCACCGAAGCTCCCAGTGGGACTGCCCGCATGCGTCCCCCACACCCAATTTGGCATTTTCAAAGCCCCACCGGAGACCCCAGTGGTACCGCCCACATGCGTCCCCCACATCCAATTTGGCATTTTCACCCACCCAGTACAACGTTTCGCGGCCCAATGGGGAGCCCCACCGAAGCCCCCAGTGGGACCGCCCGCATGCGTCCCCCACACCCAACTTGACACTGTCACCCACTCAGCACAGCGTTTCGTGGCCCCATAGGGAGCTCCACCCAAGCCCCCAGTGGGACCGCCCGCGTGCGTCCCCAGTACAGCGTTTCGGGGCACCATAGGGAGCTCCACCGAAGCCCGCCCGCATGCGCCCCCCACGCACAATTTGGCATTTTCACCCCCCCAGTGCAGCGCTTCGTGGCCCCATAGGGAGCTCCACCGAAGCCCCCAGTGGTACCGCCCACATGCGTCCCCCGCATCCAATTTGGCATTTTCACCCACCCAGTACAGCGTTTCGTGGCCCAGTAGGGAACCCCACCGAAGCCCCCAGCGTGACCGCCCGCATGCGCCCCCCACGCTCAATTTGGCATGGCCACCCACCCAGTGCAACGCTTCGTGGCCCCAACCCTCAGTGGGACCGTCCGCATGCATCCCCCACACACCCGATTTGGCATTGCCACCCACCCAGTGCAGCGCTCCGTGGCCCCACAGGGAGCTCCACCGAAGCCCCCAGTGGGACCGCCCGCATGCGCCCCCCACGCCCAATTTGGCATTTTCACCACCCAGTACAGCGCTTCGTGGCCCGATAGGGCGCTCCACCGAAGCCCCCAGTGGTACCGCCCACATGCGTCCCCCACATCCAATCTGGCATTTTCACCCACCCAGTACAGCGTTTCGTGGCCCAACCGGGAGCACCACCGAAGCCCCCAATGGGACCGCCCGCATGCGTCCACCATGCCCAATTTGGTATGTTCACCCACCCAGTGAGCGCTTCGTGGCCCCATAGGGAGCTCCACCGAAGGCCCCAGTGCCACCGTCCACATGCGTTCCCCCCCCGCCCAGCGCAGCGCTTCGTGGCCCCATAGGGAGCTTCACCGAAGAAGATATTCACAACTGCGGTAGCCACAACTCCATATGGCTGGGTCCTTCGCCAAGATAATTATGATTATGCCACTTTTTGTTCCCCTATTCTCGGGGCCTCTGTGCGGGACGGGAAGATGACCACAGCCACTGCTCCTTGTTTGCGCCGCCTTCCAGCCGGCCGAAAAAGAAGCGGTGGTTGTGGTCATTTCCCCGGTGCCAGGCTCAACGGAACTGACCACAACCACTGCTTTTTTTTCTGTGGGCTGGAAGGCTGCAGCAAAAGAAAAACAGTGGCCGTGGTCGTTTTCACGTCCCGTACTCTGGGCGGCCTCTGGGGGGCAGTTCCGGGGGCCACCTCGATGCCAACCAGAGGGAGGAGGGAGGAGGGAGGAGGGAGGAGGGAGGAGGAGGAGGAGGGGGAGGAGGGAGGAGGGAGGAGGGAGGAGGAGGAGGAGGAAGGAGGAGGAGGAGGAGGAGGAGGAGGAGGAGGAGGAGGAGGAGGAGGAGGAGGAGGAGGAGGAGGAGGGTGGCCTGCAACGGCGCTCCCGCGAGCTCGAAACCCTCTGGCGACCTGCGGGGCGCCTCCGTGCCCCCGCGCCGCCGACCTGGGGAAGGGCGGGCCCTCCGGCCAGGCTGCGGCGCGCGAGGCGCGATTGCTCTCCGCGCCCCCTGGGGTTAAGTCGGGCCTGTCCCCCACGCAAGGGGATTTTCGACGAAAAAATAAAAATACCCCACAAATAATCCAAAAATAGTCAGGGGACTATTTTTGGGATATTTTTTCACCTTTGGGGTGTATTTTTGGGGTATCTGTTCTTCCTCGTCGAAACTCCCCCTGTAGGGGGACACGCCCGACATGACCCTGGGGATGAGCTGGCCTCCCAGAGTCGCAGGCGCTGCTGCAGACGGGTGCGCGCACAAATGCAAACGTGCTGCGAGCCCAGGGGCGCTCCCGAAGGCTTACAAAAAATACCTCGGGCACGCCCCCAGGAGGCCTCCCCAGGAGGCCTCTGGCATGCCCCCCCAAGAAGCCCAAAAGGCCCCCAGGAGGCTCAACAGTCACCTCCAAGACGCCCCCCCAGGAGGCCTCGAAGATGCGTCGTGGAGGCCCCTCAGGAAGCCCATGCAATGCCTCCAAGCTGTTTCCAAACCACTTCCGTTCGAACAAGCGCGCTGGGGCGAAAACGTCCTTCTGACAGCGGGATTGTCCCGGATCGGCGGCACCGGCCGGAGGCCTCTACAATACGAATGTGTTGCGAGCTCCGCTGCCACAGAGGCGCGATTCCATTCGAAAGATGTTAGACAAACTGTGGGATCACAGCTTGAATGATCTTTTGTTTGATCGCGGCGTGCAGCAATTCACTCTGATCAGTGCTGCGCACGCGCGTATCAAGGCCCAGTTGAAGGGCCAGATTTGGCTAGACGTTAGTTTGGTATGTCTGATGGGGGTAACAGTCTCATCGCCTGGGAGCTGAGAGAGAGAGAGAGAGAATGAAAGAAAGAAATGTAGTAATACATTCATTACGCATAAAGGGGGAGGCTGAGAGTGAGAGGGAGAGAGAGAGATGCTTAAAAAATGCCGACAGACAGACAGGCAGACAGACACACAAGCAACCATACATGGTCGAGGGTTTAGCTCCCCCTCCCCCCAATGCTAATGCAATTGGGCCACCCCCCCCCGCGCGATGACCCCCCCCCCCCCGTCCCCCTGTGGGCGTGGGCGTGGTGGCTCCCCCCCCCCCCGTGGATGTGGTGTGGGTGTGGTGTGTTGCTGTGGGTGTGTGCGGGGTGACGCCATGGTCCTCCTCCCCCCCTCCCTCCCCCCCTGTGAGTGCGGTGTGGGCGCGGCGTGTGGATGGGATTGGCGTCATGTTGACAGCTCCCGTGCTCGACGTCGTCGCCGCCGCCGCTGGTGGTGCCGTCGACGTCGCCGTCGTTGTCGTCGTCGTCGTTGTCGTCGTCGTCGTCGTCGTCGTCGTCGTCGTCGTCGTCATTGCCGTCGTCGTCATCGTCGTCGTCGTCCTCCTCCTCCTCCTACTCCTGCTCCTCCTCCTCCTCCTGCTCCTGCTCCTCCTCCTCCTCCTCCTCCTCCTCCTCCTCCTCCTCCTCCTCCTCCTCCCCCCCCATCTCATCTGGGGGGGGGGCCCGAGGACCCTGGGACCCATCCCATCTGGGGGGGGGGGCCGAGGACCCGGAGCCCGCGATCATACATACAGAAAGTTTGAGAAAGAGAAAGAGAACGGGAGAGAGAGTAGAGAGAGGGGGGGAAGCGAGAGAGAGAGAGAGAGATATTCTTGTGTATACAGCTAACACAGAGAGAAGAGAGAGAGAGACAGAGAGAGAGAGAGAAGCAAAAGAGAGAGAGAGAGAGAGATAGAGACAAAGAAGGATACTTATCCTATACTCCTTCTATAACGATGGTACCCCCTAGGACGGCCCCCCACACATCCCACAGCTGACGATGGACGATGTTCGACCCTTGCACGGGTCCCCTGCGCTTACAACACGGATCCAAGACTGACCGCGTCAGCCTCCATGGCCTGCAAGACGGTGGCCCAAGATAGTATCCAAGTCGGCTTCATATTGCCGAGCCGATCGCCCAGACGGCTCCAAAGGCCTCCCGACATCCCAACGAAGACGGCCCTGAGAGACCCCCCAAGAAGCTCACAAGAGGCGAATAATATAGCTTTCCCGGCAATTTGACAAGACTTCATCCACTCAATGATTCTGCCTTCGGGTGGCTCGCAGATCGCCCCGAGACGACCGAACCAAACCGCCCGAGGACGACCCCAAAGAGCCGCACGCGCCCGCAAGATGCGCCGAGACGGCTCCCAAAGAGCTCCCAAAGGGCTTCAGATGGCCCCCCAAGGCAGCCC